CTAAAACCGGATGGAATTTTAGGGGGACCGGTTCCCCTAAAAATGGCCCCTATTTTAGGGTGACCGCCACCCTCGGCTGATGGCTCGAAATGTCCGTTCGGGCGCCCCGTATAGGCACACTCTTGGAGTCAGCTTGGGGAGCCTCTTAGGCCGTTTTGGAGGCGGCATGGGCCGTCTTGGGGCCTTCTTTGGCCGTCTCAGAACCATCGTTGAGACCTCTTGAGCCGTCTTGGAGCGATCTCGGGGGTGCATCTTGAGGTGTTTTGCAGGCCTCTTGGGAGAGGCATTTTAGAGATAGAGATCCCTATAAAACGGGGGGGGGGGGCATTTTCGATGGACCGGTCTCCCTAAAACGGGATGGGATTTTAGGGGGACCGGTCTCCCTAAAACGGGATGGGATTTTAGGGGGACCGGTCCCCCTAAAACCGGATGGGATTTTAGGGGGACCGGTCCCCTTAAAAATGGCTCTTATTTTAGGGTGACCGTCATCCTGGGCTGAGGGCTCGACATGTCGGTTCGGGCGCCCCGTCTGGGCACACTCTTGGAGTCGGCTTGGGGAGCCTCTTAGGCCGTTTTGGAGGAGGCGGCATGGGCCGTCTTGGGGCCTTCTTTGGCCGTCTCAGAACCATCGTTGAGACCTCTGAGCCGTCTTGGAGCGATCTTGGGGGTACCTCTTGAGGTGTTTTGCAGGTTTCTCGGGAGAGGCATTTTAGATAGGGCGATCCCTATAAAACGGAGGGCATTTTCGATGGACCGGTCTCCCTAAAACGGGATGGGATTTTAGGGGGACCGGTCCCCCTAAAATCGGATGGGATTTTAGGGGGACCGGTCCCCCTAAAAATGGCCCTCATTTTAGGGTGACCGCCACCCTCGGCTGTTGAGTCCTTGTTAACCGAGGCCCCTCTTAAGCCGTCCCTGCTCCAGGGATGAAGCGGCCTGCTGCCGCCCCGCCCGCCGCTGCGGCCCCCGCTGCGGCCCCCGCGCCGCCGTGGAAGGTGGCGGGCCCTAGGTCCAGTCGGCGCTGCAACGATGAGTTGCGGACGTCCTACCAGAACCTCCTGAAGGGGGGAGGCGGATCCAAGCAGGACCGCTTCCGAGCCAGGGCTTGGCTTGCAAAGGACAAGGCCAAGCAGAAGCAGAGCAACAGCCACCTGGCCAAGGTGAGGCGCAGCCGGCAGAAGAAGACGCAGCAGGCCAAGAAGGCCCACGGACGCACTTCCTTCGGAGACCTCGGCCATGTTTTGGCCGCCCTGCTGCTCGCGCGCCTGGCCCTTGCGGGCCTGGTGGAGCAGACGTGGGCAAAGCTCACCCCGCGGCTGGAGGCAGCCCTACGGTTCACGCGCACCCACCTCAGCGTCAAGCTTGGCGAGAAGAGCGCCGAGGCCTACAAGCTCCTGGCTTCGACGGCGCTCCCGCGGCGGGCGGCGATCGTGGCCGCCGTGGAGTACGGGCGCAACTCGGGCAAAGCCAAGGACCAACCAGCCACAACTGCGGGAAATTCATATCTTGCCTTTTCCGAAGGGGGGCATCGTCTTCGACGCCCGTATCGAGAGATGGTTGAATCGGTGGACTCTCTCGGTTTGGGCAAGTAGCGCGGCTCCCCCGGTTGTGGCTGGTCGGGAGGACATGGTGGAAGCTTTGCTGCAGCCCGGGCGTCCGCGGGATGCCATGGACAAGCTCTTCCCGAACCTGCGCAAGGTCAGCGCGACACAAAACGTGGACGCTCTGTCCGTGACGAGCCTCCACGTGGCCTCCTACATGGAGAACGTGCTCTGGATCCTGAAGAAGGACGTCGATCTCGAGGAGGGCAAGCTGATCGGCTCGAAGACTGTGCTCCGATGCACGCGCGTGTGCTCGGCTGCCAGGCTTCTGGTTCCGCGCGTGACGATCTGGCTCAAGCACCTGGGGCGCCTGGACCCAGAGGCGCACGGCGAGCTGGTGGCTCACGCGAAGGGACACTTGGGGACGAACTCACGGGAGTTCTTCGCCGGGGAGGCCGCCCGCCACGCGGTGGACGACGCCGCGCGCCTCTTGACGGAGCGCGCAAAAGAGACCACTCTGACCGACGAGGGCAAGGCCCGCTTCGGCACGGCCGAGAGCCTCGCCGAGGCCGCCGCGGACCCGATGAACCTCATCATCTGGGCCTGCCAGGCGCTGATCGTCCTCGGCAACGCTGCGCTGCTCACTGACGAGGACCTCCCGCTGACGGAAAAGCCCAAGGGGTGGTCTCACTGGAGGTGGACCACCGCCGGCCGCGCGAGCAAGGGCCCGGAAAAGCTCGCCCCCCCAGAGGAAGGGCCCCGCGGCGACGAGGCGCTCGCGGAGAGCGACGACAGCGCCGAGGGCGTCAGCGCCGAGGGCGAGCCCGGGCGCCGGCCGCCCGGCGGCGGCCTCTGCGCCTACGCCGCAAGCCCGCTCTCCCAGAGAGGCCGCGAGCAGAGGCAGCCCGCCGCCCGGCGCAGGTGAGCTCCGCGAGCTCCGCTAACGCCCAGGACCGGCTCGCGCCCCCAGCGGGCGGCGACAGAAAATATCATCATCATCGTCTGCATCACCTACAGGAGCCCCCAGAGAATATTCGCGTCTGGTAACTTTCTCTGGAAGCCACTGGAGACTTTTCGGTGCATTTGTCGTCCGAACTGAGGCTTCCGCCCGCCGCCGCGCCTGCTGGGCCCGCCAGTGTCCACTCGGGGTATTTGGGATCACTTAATAAATTTTGACCGCCCGAGAACACCGCCGGGGGGCGCCCCCCGGCGGCGCCAGGGGCCCCGGGGCCCGATAGTTGCGCACCGAACCACTTAGCATAAACAAGTCGTCCTTGCGCTTCTTCCTGACACCACGTGGTTCTCTCTGATGCCTTCAGGTTTCCCTTTGGTAGTTCCAGTGCCATCCGGGCGCTTCCGAGCCGCGATGACACGCGGTGGCTGCCTGGCCTCAATGTGTTCCAGAACAACAACAACAGAACAGTATCGGCTTGAGACCCGCGCGTCGCCTGCCGCGCGGATCCTAGCACCTCCTCCACGCCGCGCGCGGGCGCGCGATGTCGGGCGCGCCCGCCCCCCCGGCGCTCGCCGAGGGCAACGGCAGAGTGCCGCCGCCAAAGCCCCCCCCCAAGGCCTTGGCGGCTCATGCTCCAGCGGGCACGGCGCCCGCGCCGAAGCTTCCATCGGAGGTTCAGGGCTGCGCCTCTCAGGGTAAGGCGCCGCCGCCGAAGCCCCCCCCCAAGGGCAGGGCGGCTCGCGCCCCGGAGAGCACGGCGCCGCCGTCGAAGCCACCACCCCAGGCCCTGGTCGAGACCAGCGGGCAGCAGAGCGCCGCCGCCGCCGCAGCCGCCACGGCGACCCCTTGGAAAGCGCCGCCCCCCCTCAAGGCCTGCGCAGCTCGCGCCCTGGAGAACGCGGTAGCGCCGCGGCCGAAGCCACCGCCCAAGGCTTTGATCGGGAAGGCGCCGCCGAAGGAGCGCGGCTGCTGCGCCCGCCTCCGCGCCGAGCTGGCCGAGGCTGGCGGGCCGCGCAATGTGGCGCGTTAATAGTCGGTTGGGGCATTGGGGCGGGGCAGGATTCGGTGAGGCGGCGCGGGGCGCGAGAGTATTCTTTTCCCCGACGAGGCCCTCAGCGACCGCGAGGTGAACGCGGACCTCCTCGAGTTCGAGGAGGGCGCGCACAGGCGGACGCTGGCGGAGTGCGAGCGCCTGCGCGGGCTGCTCGCCGAAGCCAATGCGAAGGCAAAGGCGGCTGGTGAGCTGGCGGCGGCGATGAGCAGCATCTCGGGGATCCCGCTCCCTCAGGCTCGCGACACCAACGGGTCAACGGTTGGAGTGGTTAGCCTGGGCGAGCGGGATTCCGCAGGCGCCGCCGCTGCTGTGGCCGCCGCCGCCGCCGCCCCCGCGGAGGGCGCGCGCTTCGCGCGCGCGCGGGGGCCGGGACCCGCCGCCGCCGCCGCTCGGGAGCGACGAGAGCTCGGACGAGAGCTTCTGAAGGCGCGGCCCGCCGCGCCCACCGCAGACATGGCCTGCTTGCGATTGCGAGTATATCTTCCGCGCCCGTGCGATATGCAGACCGCTCGTTTGTGCCGAGCGTTACGCCCCAATGCTGGCGCATGTGGTCTTCCTCTCCTTATCCCGCTCAATGCCATCCTCGAACGTCTTTCATCCAATGGCCTCCGGCTTATCCCGCCAATGCGCCTGGGGAGCGCGTCCGAGTCTTCAGAGGTGCTCCATGAGATTTCTCAAGATTTCTCAGAGGCTACCAGGATGTCAGTTTTGCGGCCTCTCCCGCGCTTCGTTCAGGTTTCGCGATTGCGTGCGCCGCGGCACATTTCGGAATTATATTGCCAGAGCCCTTGGGCGCATTGCCGCGCCCCCGCCCTTCCCCCCCCCCCCCCCCGGGGATGCGCGCGCGCGCGCGGCATGCGATATCTGAAGAGCGCTTAGGCGCATCTGAGGGGGGGGGAGGGGGCTCCTTTGTGCTTCGGGGCTCTTGGGAGCTTCTTAAAGACCTCTCGAGGGGTTTCTGGTAGCTCAGCGGGCACGCCTCGGGACGTTCCCAAGAGAGGGGGGGGTGGGGGCGGGCGGGTGGGCGGGGCGGAGGGTAGCGATTAGGCGGGATGGCTTCATCTTGGAAGGTTATCGAGAAGTCGGCCTGAATGTCTAGGATCGTTTTATCGATTTCGACCATCCGAGGGCCCCTCCAGAGATCACCCCCCCAGCGGCGCCAGTGGCTCTGGGGCCAGAGAACAGCGCGCCAAACCATTTTTTATGAAAAAGTGTGCCCTTGCACGTTTTGGTCGCTGTGGGGCGGTTAACCGACGACTTTGCACCGTCGGCCTGGTTGAGTGCGCCCGTGGCCGTTCTGGCTCAAGGCCGTCACCTTTCCCGATGTGAACCTAGTTCTCTCTGGGATTCCGACGCAGCTGGCGCCCCGTCGGCAGTAATGGCAGGCAGCGGTCAGGAGCGGGGTGGCTCGAACGCGGCATCCATGGTCTCTCCGCGCGCTCCCCTGAAGGTGCCCCTGCGCTTCTGGTCCGGCACGTCGCCTGGACCTCCGTGGGCCCCCATGCCAACCACTAAGAGGCAGTTCTGGATCCCGAGGGTCCGCCACGTCTCAGGCCCTTGCTGGGAGTCGGCACTCGGCGACATCAAAGACCACGTGCAAGCTCTGCAGGAGAAGAGCGCAGCGCATGGGTGGTCCCTTTGCTACTGGTCTCATGAGGCCATGGACGCGGAGATGGATGCCTGCGCGGATGCCGCCCTGCGCGAGGCCTACTTCTCCATTGATCCCGCTTACATGGTGGTGCGGTCAGACCTCTTTCGCCTCTGGGTACTGTGCAAATTTGGGGGCATGTGGCTTGACCTGCGAGGGGCGCCAGCAGACGATGCCGATGGGATTGGCTTAGAAGCAGTGCCTCGTCATTTCGGTGGCACGCCCCCTCCGCTGCTCTTCTGCTACGGCGGTCAGCACAAGGAGAAGTTCGGCGGCCTGCACGGGGAGATCATCAACGGCTTCATGATGGGCTGCCCCGGGCTCCAGGTCTGGCAAGACGCGTGGAGGCGCGCGGTGGGCATGATCTGTTCGTATCCTGACCGTTGGCGCCGCTGTGCGCGGCCTGGGCAACATGCGATTGACGACACTCTTGACTATTTCGACATCCCCGTGGCCATGACTGGAAGAGAGGGCGTCCTATGCATGGGCCCACTCTCTATGACGAAGGTCGTGCGCGAGTACCTTTGCGCGCGAGGCGCGATGGAAGAATGTGTTCCTTCTACGTTCAGAAACTTTTGGAGCTGGTCAACTTTGACGCCAAGGGGCAAAACTTGGGCGGCGGTTCAAGGGCGGCTCCTCTACCGAGACCCAGAGAAGGCCGCCGCGCACATGCATTACAGCAAGCTCACCGCGCCCATAGTCCGTCTTGGAGAGGAACCGGTCGCGCGCGCCCCCTGCCTTGCCTTGGCGCCAGTGCAGCGGCGCACAATCCCCTTGTCGGCTGCATCTTCCGCGCTCGAGGGGGGAAGCTGGAAGGAGCTCGATTTCTTGGATTGGCAGAGCTCGTGGTGGGAGAGCCTCGGGGGTCTCCCCGTCATCATCAGCGATTCCACGTTCACTTTCATGTTCGGACAGAGTAGCTTGCAGGACAAGGTCGTAACGCTCAGAGGCCAGGCGATCGGGAGGATCATTGGCCGATGTGGGAGCGACTACGTCTCGCTGGAGCACGAACTGATTGAGAAGCTGTCGCCCGCGGACCCGGGCGCAGTGGCGGCTGTCCCAGCCGCGGAAGCGTTGCCGGCAGATGGGCGCCAGCAAAGGTTTCGCGTCTGTGAACTCGCGCAGGCGCACTGGGCGGAGCGTTGCGTTCCTGCCATCATGAGCTTCGCGGAGAGCTACGCGTCCAAGAGCTGGCTTTGGGGGGACCCATGCCCTTCGCTCTACGCGAGCAAGGGTCTGCATCTCCGGAAGCCTGCGGCGTTGTGGATCCTGCGGGTGTACTTGCTCGCTGCTCTCTACAACAATCTGCGGCTCATATTCTGCATCGGCTGGAACTCCAAGAACGCGTCGGACGAGTACAAAGCGCAGGCCGATTCGCCGCTCATCAAGGGCGGACACCGCTGAGAGCCGCCCCATGCGATCATTTTCATTTCAAGGTTTCATTTGAAACAACTTGGCGGCTTTATCCGCATCTTCACAGAGGATGCCAGATTGCGCGCGCGCGTGGCCAGGAAAAATCACGCGCGCGCACTGCGGGCGCATGCGCCCTCATGGTCTCATTCAGACTGCACGTGCTTGATAACATTTCTGATTCTCCTTCTACTCATCCCCCGTTCCTCTCACCCCTCCTGGGGGGTCCGCAGAGCTTCCCAGGAGGTCGAAACAGACGCCCAAGATATTGCGCGAACACTGTTGTTGCTTATTGCTTCTCATGATATCTGCACTCTAACACTCGCATGTACTGTATGTGTGTACACGCATATATATATACATATATATATATATGTATATATATATGCATATATATATGTATATATATATATATATTCTTATACATATATCATATACATATACAATATAATATATACTTACATCTAAGTTCGTATATGTATGTATACATACATAATGGTTGTATTATGCGATTCTATATGTATATATGTTGTACGCCCATGTGGTAGCACCCAGAAAGCTCCAACCAAATGTGTCATGAAGTCTTCATTTGAACCAACTTGGCGGCTTTATCCGCATCTTCACAGAGGATACCAGATTGCGCGCGCGCGCGCGCGCCCAGCAAAAATCACGCGCGCGCGCACTGCGGGCGCATGCGCCCTCATGGTCTCATTCAGACTGCACATGCTTGGTAGTATTTCTTCTTCTCCTTCTACTCACCCCCCGTTCCTCTCGCCCCCCTGAGGGCCCGCAGAGGTTCCCAGGAGGTCGAAACAGACGCCCGAGATATTGTGCGTGCACTGTTGTTGCATATTGTTTCTTATGATATATGCATTCTAACACTCACATGTATTGTATGTATGTACACATATGCATGTATATGTGTATATATATATATATATTCTTAAAAAAAAGTTTCATATACATACATAATATACATACACTTACATCACAGTCGTATATGCATGTATACATGCATAATTGTTAGACGCGATTGCATATGTATATGTTTTGTACGTCCATGTGGTAGCGCCCAGACAGCTCCAACCAAATGTGTCACCCCTAAGCGTTTGTTCGAACACGATGTAGCGGTGGCTGGAAAACTTCCAACGGACGAGCTGCATTATGTTTGAGGTCTGCGGATCGTTGCTCAGCTGCAGCGATGCGGGCTCAAATGTTCTGAGCGACGCCCGCCCTGGTGGGCGCGGTCGCGCGCGATGCCCGCGTCCGCGGAGCGTAATCGCGACCATGCATCTCCGCCGTTTGGTGGTGGGCCTAGTCGACGACATGGAAGACCTGGTCGAGAGGGTGGCCGCGCCCGCTCTGGAGTGAGGTCGGCGGCGGCAGAGGGCGGAGGCTACGGCTTCTGGCCGACTCGGAGGGGCCGCAGTCGGTGCGTACATTAAGACATGTATTTGAAGTCCACCAGAATGATCTGCCGCGGCCGCCCCTCCCCCCTCTCCCCGCCGATTGCCCGAGCTCAAGTGGGGAGAGCCGTGAATCCTGGCTATCTGGGAATCCAGGAGCTGGCCGTTGGATGTTCGTTGGCGCGCGTGCTCTGGGCGAGGTGCGAGAGTTGATTAGCGGGGATACGGGGAGAGGGAGGGGGCATGCCGACGTCGCTGCCTGTCTCGGAGAGCTCGCCCCCGCAGCGGCTGGATTCATATCGCAATCCTCGTCAGAACGCGTGCTAGGAGTGATCTGGGAAGCAGTGGCATCGGCTTCGTCGGGTCGACGGGGCGCTGTGCCATCGCCGCGTGGGCTCCAGATCAGGGGGTGCCTTGCCTTGCATTAGCGCGGCTCGCGGCACCGCTGACCCACTGCCATGGGAGCGCGGCCCGTGGCGAGGCGGCCCGCGGCCCGCCCTGTCCTGCCGACCATCGGAAAGCGGTCGACCGCCAGGGCGGCGGGCGCCAGGGGGCCCGCCGCGGCGCGGACGGCCGCGAAGCGACCAGCCGCGGCGAGGGGGCGCCAATGCCAGGCCCGACACCAGGACTCGCTATTTTGAACTCCCCTCATGATGAACAAAAAAACGTTGACGCCAACGCTCAGCCCTGGCCCGGGTAAATTTCAAGGCTGGGGTTTCGGAATCGGGCTTCGTTTGGGGGTTAAGGACGACAGTATGCCGTGTTCCGAAATATTCAGCCGACTTCTGATGCCCTTTCAGCTTGTGATTTTAGGAGTCGGGGGCTCGTTTCCTTACAGCCCAGGAGTTGGCGAAGTATATAGTGGAGGAGATTCGTGACCACATCGACCAGACTGAGAAGGGCGGCGCCGAGAACGCCGGCGCCGTGCTCGAGTGCCCTATCTGCGGGAGAATTCTTTCGAGGCCGCAGAGGGCGCGGGAGCATGCGAAGAGCCATCTGGAGGGCAAGTTCGCGTGCATCCACAAGACGCTCCTGACCGATGTGCAGATCTCGCACCCAGTGATCGCGGCGGTGCAGCGCTCCCTGTGCGACCACGACATCCTCGCGGGTTGCCCGCGCAGCGGCTACGCGTCCCGCGCGAGGTCGCTCATCCAGGGGTGGATCGGCTTCACCGCGACACCCGGTGGGAGAGATTCGCTCTACACCGCGACGGGCCACAAGCGCGACTGCGACCTGAGACTGGTCCTGACTGACACCGGCCCGCAATATTGGTTACATTCCGACGAGAGGCTCCGCTTCGCTCGGAAGTTCGGCGGCCACTACTACACTATGGCGTTCGGTAACATGTACGCGCGCTTCTTGCTCGACGCAGGAGGGGTGCACGGCCGCGCTTTCCGCTCTCTCAAAGCGGCATGGGCCCGCGGTGGCTGCGAGGTGGGATCGCTCGCCAACCGGCACACTGGCACCATGATAGCGCTGATGTTGGACATTGCCGAGTCGAAAGCCTTCGAAGACTTTGTGGGCGCACAGGTTCTGAAATGCGCTGACGTCGGCGGCCTCAGGTCCATCTCTATCGACGCGACGTACAAGGTCGCACTCAAGGTTTCCGGACAGACCCGCGCGCAGAAGCACAACGTGTTCAGCGTGATCGGATACCATGGCGAAGTGTTGGGGCTCGCTCCCGGGCACGCAGAGCGCCCAGAGGCATTCGCCGGCGCAGTGGAGCGCTCGGTGCCCCCCGAGCTCCGCTCGCGCGTCGAGCACGTGGCGAGCGACGTCGTCGGGCGCAAGGTTTGCGAGGAGATGCAGAAGATTCTCCCGAATTTGCAGTGCGTATCCCTTGACCCGTTGCACCTGGCGTTCTCCGTGGACACCCACACCTCTAAGCGCCGCATGCGACCGACCGCGGTCGGCCTCGTCATGCGGGCTGTCTTGGGGAAGTTCTCCGTGGCCGACTACGCGCGGAGGCGCGAGCCGTTTCACTGGGGCACTGGCGCGGCCAGGGCATCCGCTCAGGAGCAAGCATTCATCGAGCGCATACGGGGGGGCGACATGGGGCACCGCCGAGCGAAGAGCATCCTCAGCGACATGGACCCTAACGCGCCGATGCAGTCCAGGGAGCAGTTTGCCATGTTGATGGCGGCCATCGCGCGCGTTTACCCGGAGCGGATGGACGTGCAGTACGATAAGGGCACACTCCGGGCGCAGTTCATTGCGGCGTGTGCCCCCGATCGAGCGGAATTCTACATGAACAACATCCGCTACAGGGCGCGGCTCACGCCGGAGGAGAACAGCTCTCTCGGCGTTGGAACGACTCGCAACGAGCAGATACACTCGTGCATCAACGCAAATTTCCGCCAGTTGACTCGCGTGGATGCCAGGACCATGAAGGCCGAGCTCGCGCTGTGGGCGGGGTGCGAGACCACGCTGGCGTCGAGGGCTTTGGGCGGCAGGACGACCTCGAGGGTGCGGCGCGCCGATATGAAGGCGACCGTGGTCAACTCAGTCTCGCTGTTCGACGCTGAGAACTGGCCGGTGCACGTGGGCCTAGATGAGACGGAGTACCAGGCTTCCGCCCCTCCTGTGGAGGGCGATTTGCGCCCGCGCAGGCGCGGGCCGTCCCGCGTGCAAGAAACTATCTTGCAGGCCATTAGGGCGAAGGTGAACAAGTCGACCAGAAGCTGTTTGACCTCTCAACCAACAAGCGGTCGATCTAAACGCTAACCGAAGAGTTGCCTCTCGCAGCCTGCGGGCCGCAGTGTTTCAATGCGCCAGTGTAAGCAGGTCTGGTGCAAGTGTACAGCGGGTGCGAGCGCGGCCCTGCGCTGGCCGGGATGACATGCGCGACTGCCGCGCAACGCCGCGCTGGAAGCCCGCGGCGTCTGGCTCGACGCACGATGCGCGGGTGCCATGCGCGGCCAAGGGTGCACTTAATTCAGTTAGGATTTACACGGCGATCGGGCGTCGCCCGACGGAGGGGGGGGCAGCCGAGATGGCCACTGCCCTGCACTGGAGGGGCATGTGCAGAGGGTGAGTGGCTGAGCAGGCCAATACGCGGGATTGAGAGCTTGAGCATATGTTCATACTGTTTCGCCTCGCGATCGTCATGGGTAAAACAGAGCTGCCTCTCTTCAAACGCAATCCACTTTCTAGCTGTAGGTCGGACCCCAAGGGGCCGATCGGACAGTTTTCACAACTCTTGGACAATGGACATCACACTTGTTTCGACCCCCGCTTGTGGCTAAGAAAGCCCCGATAGGGTCCAGGAATTGATCCCAAGATGACCCCGATAACGTCTTCAATCCACAAAGAAGGTGCTCAAGAGACCCCCTGAGGGCCCAAAGAGGTTCCCATGATGTCTAAAACGGCTCCAAGAGATTACGCGCGCGCTGTTGTTGTTTCTGTCGGTATGCGCGTCGTACATTCGTAGTTGTATCATGTGTACTGGTATTTGTCATGATGCCTATACTATGTTTCTACATGTCTCTGTATATCTGCATAACACATACACATATATGCCATCTGTTTTCTATGACCATGTATGTATGTATTTCTATGAATATATACATATATATATATGAATATATA